AGACTGAGGCAAGAAGTCGTTGGGTATCTCAGCCTTTTCCATGTCCCGGGTGACCAGGTTTTCCATTTCCTTCCTGAGTGGGCCTACATTTTCCCTAGTCTTCCTTTTGTCACTGATATACCTATAAAAAGCTTTTCTTGTTGCCGTTGATGTCCCTGGCCAGATTTACTTCTATCTGGGCTTTAGCTGTCCTAACCTGATCCCTGGCTGCTCGGACAATTTCTCTGTATTCCTCCCAGGCTACCTGTCCTTGTTTCCACCCTCTGTAGGATTCCTTTTTCTGTTTGAGATTGTCCAGGAGCTCCTTCTTCATCCACGCAGGCCTCCTGGCATTTTTGCCTGACTTCCTCTTTGTTGGTATGCATTGCTTCTGAGCTTGGAGGAGGTGATCCTTGAATATTAGCCAGCTTTCTTGGGCCCCTCTTCCTTCCAGGGCTTTATCCCTCTGTACTCCAGAAAGCAGATCCCTGAAGAGGCCAAAGTCTGCTCTCCTGAATTGTGTGTAGTTGCATTTTTTAGCAATAAATTATTATGTTTCCTCAAACAATCAAGTGCTATGTTTATTGTTGCAGATGTCTGTTCTCAGTGACTATCTCACATCTGTGTACATGAGTGGCTTCCTGACTTCTTGTACTGAAACCTCTGCTGTTATCTGCAGGTGCTATATTCATGTTAACTGATGAGTTAGTTAACTTTCAAAATAATTAGAATGCTATAACATAAAAGAGCAAACAGATACCAAGTATTTCAGGTACATAAATATAATTAACTGGGAGTTGGGAGCAGAATGGAAGCTATTTATATTCACCAGGTATATTTAAGTACTATTGCTGAAATTTTAATATGGCTTACTGGTTCTCACAGAGAGTTGTAAAAGCAGGCCTACCCATGCTTCTAGTTAAATTGTGACTGGATGCATCCTTGCAAGTGGTATAAGGACAACAGACATATGGAGAGGCAAAATTTGGTCCTGCATTTATATGAAACTAGTTCTAGAGGGCTCTTACTAATGTTAGATTTACTTAAAAACCAGTGTGAATTAAAAAAAAAAAGAGGTGTTGTTCATAAATTGACATGTACTTTTATTATTTTTGGATCACTTTTGGCAATGTCCATTTGAATTTGTTTCTCCATAGGGAGGGAAGCCTAGTATTTTTCCTGATAAGTTTTAATGTTTGTCTTAGCTTCATGTTTTGACCTAAAAAAAATCTTGGATTTTTTACTGCATTCCATAGTTCATGTTATCATGTTTCTTATGTTCTAGGCCAAGCCCCAGATATGAGTGTTCCCAATACACCACAAAAGCTCTCCGTACCACCTAGTGGGAGACCTTCTCCTGCCCCCGCTGCTTCCCAGCCTTCTGCAGCCATGCCTGGGCCCTCTGTACCACAGCCCACACCTGGACAGCCTTCATCCATTGCGCAGCAAAAACAGAATCGTATCAGCCCTATCCAGAAACCACAAGGGTTGGATCCAATAGAAATACTCCAGGAACGTGAATATAGGTAAAAGCTGAATAACAAGATTTAAATGCATATGCTTATTTTTTACTTTCTCAGTAGGCACTCTTGCAATCCCCCCAACTTTAAAATGGACTCAAGTACTTTGCTGGATTGATGTGATATTTGGAAAGCTGCAAATAATAATGCTATGAAATTAAAATCCTTGGAATCCACGTGGAAACTATTTTAGTACAGAAAGTATTCAGAACCATAACCAAAAAGAAATTAGAAGAAAAAAAATGGCAATGAAAAGACTGAAGAATAAGTGGCTGTTATGGTTTGAGAGACCCATAACAATTTGTTGTCATTTAGACAATCATTCTATCACCCAGTGACCCCTCCCCACCCCGGAAGAGGAATCGGGGAAAAACAAGGAAACCCGGGAGCTGAAGTATAAACAGATTTAATAGAATAAGATTAGATAATTAACATCTGAGATAATTAACAGCACTAAAGAACTGATATTGATCCTGACACCAATACAGAATATGCAAAGATTATACTCATCCAATTATATCAGTAGGAAACTGTGCACTCCCAGCAGGACACTGCGAGCGCTACAGCTTCAGGGGGAGGGGAAGGCCTCAGGAGTCCGGCACCAGGGCACAAAGTTCTCAGGACGGCAGCCATCAAGGGAGAGAGAGAACTTCGCAGCAATCTTTCTAATTTATAGTGAATGTGACGTTGATGGTATGAAATAATCCTGTTGGCCAGCTTGGGTCAAGTGCCTGGCTCTTGCTCCTCCTTATCCCCGCACCTGGCAAGCTCGAAAACACTGAGACCTTGAGACCCACACACCATAGCTTGCTGTAAAGTAAATATTTTCACAAATTCAGACACTGGAGTCTTCTATAAGTGCAGTTTTCCCAAGTATCAGAATAGAAAATAGTCCTGTGTTGCTCAAACCAGGACAGTGGCTAAAGCAAAAACTAATTTTGTATAATGATAAATGGGTTAGCTGGACTACCAAAGAATAGAGTATTAAGGAGGTGAAAGTGAAGATGAAAAATAGGATACCAGGAAGTATGGTCCATAAATGTTGAGTTAGACTCTTAAGTAAGTACCCTAATTAAAAGGTGATTAGTACCCAGTAATATTCCTAGTTAAAACATGGAGGACCTAATCTCTCATGATTTTCTGTGGTTAGAAAGAAACTGTTCCTTCCCCTTACTGAGACTATTATACAATTTCCCTTGAGGACTGGGGAAGGAGAAAGGTTAACTCAAAGTATGTTCCTGGTCACTGTCAATGACAGGAAGCAGACTCCCCATAGTGTATTTGCTTGATTTGAAATGATAATGCCTCTTCCTGTTACTAAAACAATGAAGGTATAGGGGGAATGTAGACAAAAGATGGTAATCTCACTGAAAAAAGGATTAAATGAATACTTGCTTTGTGAATGTGTTCTACCTTTTCAGACACAGGAGGGAGGGTAAGTGGTATGAACTTTTATAGGATATCAAGCATCTCAGGAAGGATATAGTGTGATATCCAGAAACCAGGCCTTGATCCAGCAAAACACTTGTAGTTTTTACATAAGAGCATGCTTAAGTGCTTTTCTGACTTATAGTTGTGGTCATTCTGTCAGTCTAGTAATTTTCACCTTAGCTTGGAATGGCTGTAGCTATTTTGGTGTGTACAGTCATGATCTAACAGCTTTTTCAGAAAAATCATAGAATGGTTTAGGTTGGAAGGGACCTTAAAGATCACCTAGTACCAACCCCCCTGCCATAGACAGGGACACCTCCCACTAGACTAGGTTGCTCGAAGCCCCATCCAGCCTGGCCTTGAACACTTCCAGGGATAGGGCATCCAGAACTTCTCTGGGCGATCTGTTCCAGTGTCTCGCCACCCTCATAGAGAAAAAATTTCTTCCTGGTATCTAATCTAAACCCCCCGTCTTACAGTTTGAAGCCATTACCCCTCGTCCTATCACTACATGCCCTTGTAAAAAGTCCCTCTCCAGCTTTCTTGCAGGCCCCCTTCAGACACTGAAAGGCTACTACAAGGTCTCCCCAGAGTCTTCTCTTCTCCAGGCTGAACAACCCCAACTGTCTCAGCCTGTCTTCATAGGAGAGGTGCTCCAGCCCTCGGATCATCTTTGCAGCCCTCCTCTGGACCCACTCCAACAGGTCCATGTCCTTCTTATGTTGGGGGCCCCAGAGCTGGATGCAGTACTCCAGGTGGGGTCACACGAGAGCGGAGGAGAGGGGCAGAATCACCTCCCTCAACCTGCTGGCCACGCTTCTTCTGATGCAGCCCAGGATACAGTTAGCCTTCTGGGCTGCGAGCACACATTGCTGGCTCATGTTAAGCTTCTCATCAACCATGAGGATATACCATAATACAGTTTCACTGTTGTTCTGAATGGGGGATCATAGCATTAACCTGAGCCTGCAATCATCTGGCTGGTATTTCATAAAGTCATTTGTAACTGCTTCTGCCCTTCCAGCCCTGCTCCACTGCCGAACTGTATGTGCCAAATTTTATGACATGAGGATATGCATAAATGGGGGAGGAGTGAGGGACAGCAGAAAATAACTAAGGTAGATCTACTCGACTATGTAGAAATTAGCTGCAGTCACAGCATATCCATTAGGTTCTAAATAGCCTGATCTGGGCAGGTGTCGTGGTTTAGGCCAAATAGGCT